CCGCTCTTAATGGTGTAAGGTACCGTTGCCTTGACCATTTCCTAAGAATTTCTTCTCCTCTCCACAGAAATCTCAGAGAACTTGTGAATCAATGGCCATTTCCAATCCAAACAGATGAACCCACAAAGCAGAAGCGTACCCAATCTGCAAAAGAGAAACTTCAAAACCAATCTCTCTAAGAACACTGCTTCTGGCCCCCCTCTTTTCACCATTAACTCTGCTACCTGTATTTCATTATGGCACTCCCTCTTTTTACGATTAACTCTGCTACCTGTATTTCATTATGGCACCCCTCTTTTTACTATTAACTCTGCAACCTGTTTTTCATTAATCATCAAAATTTATGAAAAATAAGCATCAATTAACAATTCGATAAACTGACATGCACATGTTTTTTGAATGCATTGGCAACGTCATTGTTGGGATTAAGGAAAGTGAATTTGAGAGACTGACCTCATCAGGTACGGGAGACTGAGACCCAGAACCTTTGTAGAAAGAACGAATAGCCTCCTGCTTATCAACAGGGATTTCCTCGCTAAAGCTGGGTACAGGCAATGGAGGAATGAGAGTTTCACAAAAGGCATCTAATGATTGCATCTGTCCTGAAGAGAATCCATGACTAGATGCATTGCTTACTTTCCTGTTCCCTCCTCTTAATAGTGGATGGCAGTTCTGATTTTGCTCCATGCAGCTTTCCCTTGCCTTGCCTTTTCCCTCCTCCCACCAGCTGCCCATTTATTAGGTGCTCATTTATTGACAATGCCTCTTGATGAAATCCGATTTTATCCCATTTGAAGTCTAAGCCAAGTACTGAGATAAGATTATATTCTTCTCTTAGTTTTTACATTCCATCTTTTCTTAATAAAATGATTGATGAATTATACTAGGAGGCCATTTGTGGACGCGGCAAGTGCTGTGCTTTAATTAAAACGAGTTTGTAGCTGTTTGATAAGACAAAAAAATGATTTATTGTACATAGATATAATATGATTTTTGTGTCAGAAATACAGGTAACGAAAAGTAAGAAATTTGAGCTTTCAATATATTATATATTATATATGCTAATTGTACTGTTTAGTAAATAGTATAATTAACTGTATATTCATATGCTATTTATATAAATAGTATAAGAGAATAATATTATTCACTTAAAAATAAGGAATAGTACAATTTATTACAATTTATTAATATGCTATTTATTTACTTAATAGTATAATTTATTTACATTGTTCGCTTAATGAACAGTTCAATTCAATGAATTGCACTGTTCATGTTTTTTTAGTATGTAAATTTTATTAACAGTTTTTTTTTAAAAATAGTTTAGAGTGAATTAAATTTACTCGCATTATGATGTGAACAATATTTAAAAAAAAAAAACTAGTATAGAGTGAATTAAATTCACTTGCACTGTAATATTAATTTTATATCTGATAATATTGTATCTAATTTTATTACATGCTCAAAAAATTATGAAAACTATAGTTTTTATCCAATGAATTTTGTACATAATAAAATTATAAATAGTTTAATAGAATAATAAAAAATATTTTATATAAAGTATTATTTATTTCATGATGTAATAGGAGTAATTAATTCTACAATATTTAAATTTAAACCATCAATATTAATATATATTTTTTAAAATTATTTTATAATCTCAATTTCAAAAGCATTCTTAACCAAATATAATAAATTATTTTTTTTTCAACCTTAATTTTAACCATAGTTTTAACCAAATACCTATTTTCAAATTATTCTCAATAAAAAGTGCTATTTATAAAATAACTTTTTTCAAACCACAACTACAATAACCACTGTAATACCAAACACATCCTATTATATAAAAAAATCTTTCTTTGAAAAAAAACCTTAGAAATTAATATATTTCATTTGTAATGAAACAAATTGAAATTACCTACTAAAAATTACTTTAGTCCCTTTTTATAGCTCTCGAGGGCTCTCATTTTTATGGAAAAGAAAAAAGTTTACATATATGTTTAATATTTCTTTCTTTAAAATATTTTAACTCATAAAAGTAAAATATTCATGCCTCATCAAAATAAAATATCTTTGACTATAAAACTAGTGGTTCACCAAACTCATATACGACTAAACTTAGTATTTAATTGAACTCGAAAATAGTAAGTTTGACAGTTTGTTAGACTTACACATGTTTAGATTCAATGCTTGGATGATTTCATGAATGATGTTTTTGATGATAAATTTAATAATTTATCAAACTCACACATGTTTGGGTTTAGTAATTGATTAAATTTAGGAATTGTAAGTTTAGTGGTTTACCAAACCCATATATATCTTGGCTAAATACTTTGCTAAGCCTAAAAATAACGGGTTATTACCTAAACTTTGTCCGGACTGAGAAAAAACAAAAAAATATTAACCTGTCACTTTGGAAAATGAAAGATTCTCCAACAATGAAAAAATGTGAATCACGAGAGATTTAAGAAGACTTTGTATTAAAATATTTAATGTAATATCACAAAAAAGAGATATATTGTTATTTATTATAAAACCCATCACTATATTCAAGCAAAAACATGAACTATTTTTTTAAAATCATTCATTTAGATTGTTTGATGTAGATTTTATTGTGTTTGTCTCAATTAAAAAGACTTTATAATTTATAATTGAAGTTTTAAGTTAATTGATTTGAACTTGAGAATTATAAATTAATTGATTTTAATTTTGGATTTTGTCTTAAATCTATTCATGCGATTCCACATCTGTATTACAAAGTTACATGAGCGTCAATATAATTAAACCCATTTCATATAAATAATTATTTAACTAAAGAAGTTATAAGATAATTAAGAGAACTTAAACGTAAAGTAAACTCAATAACTTGAAAAACAAATACTTATATTTATATAACTCTAATTACATCTAGAAATTGGAATTCTTGGATAATGAAATATTTTTTTGATATTTTTGATTTAAGGAATTGAAATTGCAAGCCTACAAATTACAAAAAAAACATTGCAAACCTACTTGATTATGGCTTATAGAGTTATTGTCTATATAATTATCATTTACAAACTATTGCCTACTGGTTTAAAGTTTGAAAGATCTCCAAAACTTGATAAAACTGTAATATAATGATTTGATTTTTTATTGAGTTGTTCATATTTCTTTATTTTCCTTGCTATTTATCTTATATAATCAATTTATCTTATATAATCAAGTGATATCAGCTACTAGTAAACTTTTATTTTCTATATATCAACATATATCAATAGCTAATAATTTTTATTTTTCAAAGTTCTTTTTATGATTTCACAATCACAAGAGTTATTGTTGCCTTTTAATTTATGTGGTATATTATAACAACTCACGTTTTGTTTATATACATGTTTTTTTTATATATTTTTTTTTTCAAAATTTTTCTTGATTATCTAGTTATCATATAATTATCCATTAACCTTATCTACATCCCATAGAATTTATGGTATAACAATCAGTTTAGATGAGTACGTACATATTGAATTTTAGGTCAAATTGACATCCTTAAGGGTTCTATTATTCCAAGGCTATATAAGCTTTAACTAATAGGTAAAAAGCATGGAAAATGCAAAATGCATCAAGTGCATAATACAAAAGAATAAAAATGGAAAAAAAGTCTCATTTACATTATAAAGAAATTATAAATTATATTAGAAGTTATAAAGTTGTTTGACATTGCATTTCTATTAGTGTTTGAGTACATTTCAAAAGTATATTGGTATGCAAAAACATTAAATTGATATTTTTTTAGTGTTTTTCAATGATTTTAATATATTGATGTTAAAAATAACAAAATATGATAAAATTATTTTAATGCATTTTTAAATAAATAACACTTTTGATAAGCACCTAGCATTACAATACCAAATAGACACTTCTATTTTTTAGAGGTGTTCATAAATATAATTGGATCGATTTTTAGCGTGAGTTGGATATATTACATTAAATTAAAATTTTTATAAATATTAGATATATTCATAAACTGGATTTATATTGTTAATTTTCACGGGTCTGTATTTCAAGATAGACTTATAGCATGAACTTTATATGTCATGGAACTTTCTTATATCTAATTTTCATACTTGCACCATCCTAGTTATTTACTCTTTCTTTCTAGAAAGAAAGATTTTTTTTATGCTAAAGAAATCTAATATGAAGTCTACTAACAAGAACTTTGATATCGAAATATTTCTAAATAAAATAAAATAAATTCTCACTTTAGAAATTATCAAATATAAAGATAAAAATAATATAAAATATACGAGAGTTTTAGAAATTCTAATTTACCATCCAAACTCTAATATCTATTTTTCAGATTTCTTGACTAATATTTATATTATCCGATTTAATAAATTACATCAAGTTAAATAATATAAATATTACATTTCTTTAGCACCTGTGCTTGCACCATGGAAATTATTCACACATTTTAATTATATATATATATATATAAAAGAATACAACTTTTGATATAGTGAATAATTCTCTTGTATAAAAAAACCCTTCAACCCCATGTTCTTGCCATGCCATTCTCCAAGATTCTACATTGCTGCCGGCAACTTTGCCAACCTTCTTCTTGGTTCCAAAATTGATCTTCACCTCTGCTAATAAGTGATTATTAAGAAGTGATGTAATAATTATTTTTAAAAATATTTTTTATTTAAAAATATATTAGAATATTTTTTTAAATTATTTTTTATATCATGACATTAAAAAAATGATTTAAAATATAAAAAATTAATTTAAAATAATTTTTTATTCAATTCTTTTTTAAAAAACTTTTAAAACACAAATATAAAGTAACTACGTTCCCTTGGTCAACAGTTCCCGTCCACTTGAGTTGGATGGTGTAGTAACGAGAGAGGAATTCTGAGAAACAATACTTGGCACGGTGGAGTGAATGTGGTGGTGGCTAATTTGGGAGTGTTTGAGAATGTAATTATGGTTATTTTTTAAATAATGTTTTGTGTTTAAATATATGTTAGTAATTTTTTTTATTTTTTAAAAATTATTTTTGATATAATAGATCAAAATAATTTAAAATGAATAAAAAAATATTTTTTTTTTAAATTTTTTAAAAAGTAGTTTTAAAAGGCAGAAACAATCCCATTATGTAAACGATTCTCAGGAGTTAGTTGCAGATCTGACAGGCACGGTGGAGTTTGGTGGTGGTTCTTACGTCATGGCTACTTATCAGCAGGGAGTACGAGGCGCTATATTAAATGTGCCAGTTCATTGAGGCGGATGAATACCAAGAAATATTTTTTATTTATGATAGCTCTACCATGGAAGATTATCAAAAGATTAAAATATTGTGTAGACTATCTTTAAATCAAGATCCTAACCGATTGATTCTTGTATAGATATAATCTTGAAAAGAATTTCTGCAAATACACGGTTTTCCTGTCTTTACTGTTTTTGTCTCGTCTCTTCTACCAACAGACAGACAGTATCAATCATGTTTTATCGTGTCACCAATGATCTGATTCCATTCACCGACCCCTGGTAGATTAGGAACCAAAGCATTCTAGTTTTTGTAATGGTTAAAAGTAAGAAATGCCCACTTCCAGTCTGAAACATTATCTGTGATTTCGTTTGTCCTAAAAGATTCAGCTTTGGCTCCATTGCAAAGAGCCAAGCAAGCAGCTTTACAATGTCTGATGCCTTCTTTCTTTGATCTTAACCAAGGTTTCACAACAATATTCAAGCGCGGAACCATCAAACCATCTCTACGGAC